CCATGTGCACATCCAGGCTCTTCACCCTCGTCCTGGTGGTGCAGCCGCCCCGCGTCCTCCTGGGCATGAAGAAACGCGGGTTTGGAGCCGGGCTGTGGAACGGCTTCGGGGGGAAGGTGCAGCCGGGGGAGAGCATCGAGGAGGCTGCTCGCAGGTGAGGCCTGGCCCGGCTCAGCCCGCGCCCTGGGGAGAGGCGGGGGTGGGGGCACAGGTTGGGCCGCGGAGGTGTTAGACAATTTGTGGTGGGCTGCAGGTGGAGTTACCACGGCTTGGCTGATCAATTAACGCCCTCGTAACCAGCGTGTTACCCGCAAGTGCAGTCCTGAGCCATCTCTGAACAATCACCTGCTCCACAGGTACAAAGAAATGGGATTGCTCCCCGTTGCCTGTCATCTGCAAATCTTTAACCGTTGTCCTGTCTATGAGTAGCTGGAAGTTACTGAGTGTCCTCCCTCCCATCTCTTGGACTCTGATCTAAACTGAGAATTAGCCTGTTAGTGGTGGACAGAGGTTCTTGCGCTGTTCAGAAAGGTGCAGAGTTTAGTTTTGGCTGTATAGCAGAATTACAGCTTATGCCAGTGTACTGCCTATTGTTTAAATTTTGCAGCTGTTGAACAGATGCTACCCTCCAGTAGCATTTTTAGTAGTGCGTGAAAAGCTAGTGAGAAAATATTAGAAATTCTCAGAGGTCCCTTATGAAAGGCACTGTAGAAATTTATTATTTGACTGCATGGCAGCATTTTGAAGCCCTAATGCTGAGTGAGGGAATTTAATTCCATCAGTACAGAGGTACAGTACTATTTTTGAAGTTTTTAGTACTGATTTCTTGAAGTTCTTTCTTCTGTCTCATCATTAAAATGGAATAGCAGATTGCAGATGAATTGCTAAACTCTAAAAATTAGGTACCGTGTTCTTCACATGAACGTTGCTGATACAAAGCCACACTTTGCCACCTCCTTACGTTCTCATATATGCCCAAAATTGCCCTCACACCTGCAGGAAGATCAATGTTGCTGTGCTCAACAGCTACCTAACAGCTTTTGCCCTGAACCGTCTCCTCAGCTGCGCCAGTGCAACCGCCCGGGTTCTGTGGTGGGCTAATCCAGGGGACAGAAGCATCCTCTGTGCAGATGTGCACCCAGCACGTTAACGTACCTGATGCTTACGTCATGGCTCTTCGTGTAATTTGTCGTCTCTGAGTGGGGGGAGGGAGACGAGTTACTTAAATCAGGCCTTCATTTCCTAGGCTTACATTGCTACTGACTGGTGTAAATCTAATGATTTAATTTCATAGAATCACAGAATGCTTTGGGTTGGAAGGGACCTTTAGAGCTCATCCAGCCCAACCCCCTGCAGTGAGCAGGGACAGCTTTAACCAGAGCAGGGTGCTCACAGCCCCGTCCAACCTGGCCTGGAATGTTTCTGGGGATGGGGCCTCCACTGCCGCTCTGGGCAACCCCTTCCAGTGCTTGACCACTCTCATTGAAAAAAAACTTCCTTATATCCAGTCTGAATCTACCCTCTTTTAGTTTAAAAGCATTACCCCTTGTCCTATCACTACAGGCCCTGCTAAAAAGTCTGTCCCCATCCTTCCTATAGGCCCCCCTTAAGTACTGAAAGGCCGCACTAAGGTCTCCCCGCAGCCTTCTCTTCTCCAGGCTGAACAACCCCAACTCCCTCAGCCTGTGCTCGTAGCAGAGGTGCTCCAGCCCTCGGATCATTTTTGTGGCCTCCTCCGGACCCGCTCCAGCAGGTCCATGTCCTTCTTGTGCTGAGGGCCCCAGAGCTGGACGCAGGGCTCCAGGTGAGACCTCACCAGAGCAGAGTAGAGGGGCAGAATCCCCTCCCTCGACCTGCTGGCCACGCTGCTTTTGATCCAGCCCGGGATACGGTTGGCTTTCTGGGCTGCAAGCGCACATTGTTGGCTCATGTCCAGCTTTTCAGCCACCAGTGCCCCCAAGTCCTTCTCGGCAGGGCTGCTCTCAATCCCTTCATCCCCCAGCCTGTATTCCTATCAGGGGTTGCCCTGATCCAGGTGCAGGACCTTGCCCTTGGCCTTGTTGAACCTCATGTGGTTCACACGGGCCTGCTTCTCCAGCTTGTCCAGGTGCCTCTGGATGGCATCCTGTCCCTCAAGTGTGTCAACCGCACCACTCAGCTTGGTGTCATCTGCAAAGTTGCTGAGGGTGCCCATTAGTTTGATTTCCTCGGTGTGTGTTTATCTGTGCTAGCCTGGAGCTAGAAACCAGAGCTTTAGTCCATACGAGATGTCATGTGATAAAAGCTTCAGCAATCTCAGTGCAACGTGCCACCGCACAGCCAGCGTCTGCTGCTGTGGACCATGGAACAGTCCGATCCTCAGCCCTTTCAACACAGCTGGTAGGAGTTTACTGCAGAAGGACACAACCGATTCCTGCCAAGGTCAGCTGAGCAGGAAGCACTCCCCAGAGCCAGGGCCAGCCAGGCACAGAGCCCACCTTCCTGGCGGGAACACCCCCGTTGCAGTGCTGCCTCGGGGTGCAGCTGTCCTCACTCCAAATGTGTGTGTCACACACTCCAAATCAAACTGAACTTGCACCACCTCCACTCTGTATTCCAAGTGGAGGTATTACGCCGTGGTTCCGTGTTGCGCTGCCTCAGCTGGGTTTGCAGTAGCACAAGGTGTGAAGTGTCCTCACAGCATAGATAGTTAAATATTAAGCTGAAACACGAACAAAAAGTTTCCTGTATCAGTAAGATTTTTGTACTCCACTGGGTACAGCACACTCCTGTGAGCACCTGGGCACCCACAGCTCTTCGGTGGCACATCTTATAAGGGGAGCATTTAGCCAGTTCACTATTTCTAGTTTGCTACTATAATGTTTCCCCTTACTATATACAGAGCCAACCAGCTGACAGATAAATTGCTTGGAGAACCACAGTAGTGTTGTGCTTTGTTCAATTATTGCAGCTGTGAAATGAGGCTTTTAGCTTTGTTGTTGGAAAACTGCCTCTATTTTAGACATAGTTTCTCAGGAAGATAAACGAAAATTAGCTAAGACATTAAGTTGGAATATAATTTTGAAGGATGGGATTCATGAAATCGACACCAAAGAAAGCTGGAGCCTTAAAGATTATTTCCATTACATTTTAAAATTGTTAAGTTACACTGCTAAATATAAAACTACATTAATTATTAACCTTAACTGAAGATACACTGTTTCAAAGTATTCCTTATTTTTGTACATTAGAAAAACCATGACTAACTTCAAGATATGCTGATTGTGTTAGAGGCAGGTAAAAATAAAAAAAAAAGCCCTAAGCACGTAGCTTGAATGGGCTTCAAGTAGCCGTGCATGGTGATGCATGGAAAATAGCTGTCTGGCAAGTCTCTCAGTGCTCTTGAAAGTCTTGCCTTCTAGCTTCTCGTTATGCTAATTGTACTTCCAAGGAGCAGAAATGGAAAGTTGACACAGTTGCTTTGTGTTTTGTATATGGCATTTGAATGGGAGATGGTATTCCTAACGTTCTGTGTGCAAATCATGTTATGTAGTGTGTAGCATTACTTAAATAAGCTTCAGTCAGCCTCAGCAGCAGCTGATTTTGCTGCAAGTACAGATGTTCTAGTATTAATCACCCGCTTTCCCACAATTCTAAAAGCTTTAGCTTGAAGTTGGCAAAGCCTTTTGCCCATCTAAATAAAGTGTATCTCAGAGTTAAGCCACATCCAGCTACAGTCATGAGTGTGTTAGCAAACTTCTAACTAATCTCAGAAAATTATTGTGTTGCAAGGAGTGTAAATTATACCAAACAATCAATTTGCCTGATCTTCCCCTTCCAACATAGACTGTTTTCCTGCCAGCCTTTAGGAGCCTGAAATAACACGCGAGCCAGCCTGACATGGCTCCACTGCGGTGTAAGCAGGCCGACAGTTCAGTGGAAGCCAGAACGCCACTTTGCTCTGCAGGCTGTGCCCTGCTCCATTTTACAGGTGCAGCTTTCACCTTTGGTTCACTGGAAGTGTTTTGAATGCACGAGTAAAGCTAACAATGGCTTTTTTGTTTTCCCACTGCTTGCTTTCATGTAAAGAAGTCTATTTCTTGTGCAGGGAGCTCCTAGAGGAGAGTGGACTGACTGTGGACACCTTGCAGAAGATGGGTCAAATCACGTTTGAATTTGTAGGCAACTCAGAACTCATGGAAGTTCACATTTTCCGAGCAGATCATTTTCATGGAGAGCCAACAGAAAGTGATGGTAGGTAGCTAGCGGAGGGGAAGGAAGGATATGCATGCTCTTTTGAGCCAGTATTGCTCTTAAGAAATGCAGAACTATTCATGCCAAAATCCCTTTGAGATGGGAGGCAGCTGGGCTGTAGAGGGAAGCTGCTTGTTGACAGATATTCAACGTCTGGGCAGCAAAAAGCCAAGAGAAAGCCTCATGTGAAGTTCTTTTGTTTTCTCCCACCAGAAATGCGTCCACAGTGGTTTCAGCTGGATGAGGTGCCATTCAATCACATGTGGGCCGACGATATCTATTGGTTTCCCCTGCTGCTTCAGAAAAAGTTGTTTCGTGGCTATTTTAAGTTCCAGGGACAAGACACTATCCTGGAGCACACCCTGAAAGAAGTGGAGGAAGTTTAAGAAATCGGAAGCATTCAACCCACATGCTGCTGCCCACATTGGGTTAGAACGCCATGAGTACTACTTAGAAGCGTCTCCTTTCTCAACTCTCCAGCAAAGGAGACTTATTTGCCAGGTCACTGGGAAGTAGGGAAAATAAGGGGGTTTCTTAGAGCAGAAACAGAAGTAATGAGATTTTTCCATGCTGTGAAGTCCCTGGCTGTGGTATACTTTAGTGGTTACGTGATTGCAACTATTAAAAACTTAGTATTAACCCTTTTCTTTGCAGGTGGCTAATTTTTAGGCTTTTCCCTTGTGGCTGGAAATGTTTTTAAAAGATTAAAAATATTTTTTAGTAAAAGCATGTGGTGTTCTGTGGTAAACAGCTGCCCACCTTCTAGACTGTTTAAGGGCCTTTCAGGAGTTGGCTTCCTTTCACAGAAACATTAAGTGGACTGTGATGCAGCAGAATCAATTATCTTCTCTGTGCCAGTTTCTGTACAGTTCCATATTCAGCATTCCTTCCTGGGACAAGGTGACGCTTGACCAGTGCTCTAAAAGCCTTTTGAAATGTTTAGGTAGAGATCCCTTCAGGATTCTCCAGTTGACGGTAGCGTAAGGTTATAGGAGTTAAGAAAACAGAATTCAGAGGTAGATGTATGGCACTGTTTGAGCCCTTCTCTCGTTCTTGCAGCTCCTGCCATGAACTTAAACTGGTTTGAGTGTTTCAGGTAAAAATATGAACAAAATCAACTTTCAGCAAGTCCGTGTTGCAAAGCATGGTCACCTGTGGCTGGAGGCTTTGCCACATTTTGGTAGCAGGTGACCTGTTCAGCATTCAGGTCAGCCCAACTCGGCATGCTGGGCAGCCAAAGCTTAATCAAACCGTGCTGGAAATAACACATAACTTCTTACACAAGGTTTGGGTTTTTTGGTGGTTTGTTTTTTTGGTTTTTTTTTTTTAAACACTTTTACAAACACATATAACACTTACAGATAGAATCTTGGAATGTCATATAGGATCTGTAAACATTTCCAGTCTACCAGCTGTAGTAATAGTTCTTTAATTCCTGCATTTAGATAAAGTGCTTCATACATAAGGCTAATTGAGCAAAGCAAAGATACAGGATATTCCAGGCAGGCAAAATTCACACCCTCTGAACAAGATTGTTTCTTGTCTCCCTCCAGCAGTTGTGAATAATTTATACCACTCAAAAATGCCCTTCATATGCTCAGTAAGCCACAGCTCAGAGTTAGAGGATAAGAGTTAACACCTTAAACTCTTCCTTTTCCTTTTGTGCTGCACACTGAGTTATTTACAGAGTTTTTGATACCTCTGCTTCTGACATAGCAGTAAGGGTTTCTGGCTGTTCTACTGGAGAGAATGGCTTGAGGCAAGTAGAGGAGAGAAAATAAGCGCAAGGGGATAGGTAGCTTGTAGCAGGATGTAAGACCTTACTGCACAGTAGGAAAGGGAGTGACTGGCAGCCGATACCTGTTAAGTTATCTTGATTTACTTCCTGGTGGAAACTAAATTGCATGAGGAGAGATCAAATTACTTTCTGTTCCTCCAGGAGTTTAGGTAGGAAACGAACAAGTGCGGCTCAGGCTTGCGCTTCTATTTGCTATCCCCTCTTCTGCAGTCAGTTCAATCCTTCTGTGAAGATGCTTTCACCAGCACTGACTCTTAGCTCATGTCAAAGAGTAATGAACATATTGCTCCTGCTGCAGTTGTGGAGACGGACGCATTTTAACTAAGTTCTGTCCCCAGCTGGTGATCTTTGTCTTTTAGGAAACAGCACAAACTGAAGATTTTAAATTAGCCTGTTACAAATTCCAGGAATTACACCCTTACATGATCAAAGTAGAAGAGTAAAAGCACTGGAATGCAGCAAGGCACTGTTGAAAACATGTTACCACTCAGGAGGAGCAACTTTCAAGGAATATGGAAGGAGAGGGAAAGAAGGATCAAAGATTAAGGTTGTATTGTAAATACAGTTTGGAAAGCCTTTCAACACATGACATTGGTCAAAAAGCCTGTATAGTGCCACTTCACGGCTTAAAGAAGAGGAGACCTCGCAGTGACAAAAACATATAGCCCTTTTGACAAAACATTTTTCAGGCAAAGTTTCAGGTTCTCAGCTGTGTACTACTCTGGTACCTCCACGACAGATTTTGAGAAAGACACGGGCAGAAAGATTGGAGGCCTTTTCTGTCACTACTACTTTGAGCACCTGGCAGTCCCCACGAGCTCAAGCAATACACAGAAAGCTTCCACTCAAGAAGGCACGTTAACTCTTTGGCGCTACATCTTACAGGAGCATCAGTTCTTGGATAGGCAGCACGCGCTCTTCAATTAGTCTTCTGGTTTGCTTAGTGTTTATTGCAATCTACCCAGCTACCAGCAATGGAACCAACTTCATTAAGTCTTGTTCCCAGCCTTGCGTGTAGCTAGGCTGTTTGCTGCAGAAGGCGATAGCACAGAGGTAACTAGAACAGTTTCCCCTACCCTGGCTAGGGTAGACAGACGATTGATTCCCTGCTGCATTCCTCTACAGCAAGGAAGCTGTACGTGATGCTGATCTCCAAGTCTGACAGATACCTAAACTAAACAGAACAAACACAGTAAGGAAATCCCTCACATACCGAGGTAAACATAATAGTGCTATTTGCACACTGACCAGTCTCTCAAAAATAAGGTTTGCGAACTAAGGGTTGTATAAAATAGCATATGCATGTGTTTAGGAATGAGACAGAAGCTTGACAGGCCAGTATGAAATACACTCTGAAAGTGCCATTAGCTGTATCAGCTTTGAGAATACTAGGCCTCTGTTCTCAAAATACTAGGTGAACAGAGTAAAATCAAAACAAGAAAACTCCACCCCCAAAACTTCTCTCCTCAAAGAGGCAAGGGCTGACAATGGAGGAATGGCTGCTTCTCAAAACAACACAATTCCAGTTTCTTTATAGGTCATGTGGTCTGTGTTTATCATTATAACAGTCTCTGCATTTGGACTGTAGAATTCTTGCTTTGAAGGAGGACAGGAAAGAGAAGTTAGTCTAAAGCCCAAATGTGGTTTTGATGTTTGTTTTTCTGGGTTTTGTTTATAAATAAAGTCCAAAATTGTAACTTTTCTTCTGAACCTTGAGAAGTGCAAAGTTCCATTCAGGCTAATACTTTGCAAGTGCTCCTACAGAACGTAGCCCAGGCAGACAAGTTACACAGAAGATCCACCATACAGATATCAGATCTTGCCCCAAAACATAACAGTATTGTCTCAATTTGACTGTTCACTACATCAGGCAAACGAAGCTAAATGATGGACGATGGGTACTAAGACTGAACAGATGACAGGCCATAGCCAGCTAGCACCTTCTGAAGATGCTAGGAGTGAAGAGCATTTAAAAATATGGCAACACACTTTCTGCACTTTAACCACAAACTATCTTCCTAATCAAGAAGAGGTCAAGCAGAAAAACCTTTTGTGCCATTCTTGATATAATATCTGTAGTATCTGTTACTGTACTGTAGAAACATTTCCCTCCCCAGCCAGTTTGCTCTGCCCTGTGAGCAGAACCTCTTCTACATCACTTTGGAAATCTTCAGGAGAAAGAAATCAAATCTGTCACGGCCATTTGCAGTTCATCTGTCTCACTGGACAAGGCCAATACACAGGAGGAAAGACTCAGAAGAGAGTTAACATTTGAATTGCTATAAAAAAAGCTCTTAATAATGCATTCTCAGGAAGGCTGTTAAGTAGACTCTCTACACACTCCTTAAGGCCCAGCACCCAAGAAATTCACCCACATAAGCGCACTTTACCACATTTTCAGGGGTGTGTGTAATGGTTATGCCAGCCTCATGAAACTGGGCAAGTAACTTCTTATCTTGCTCCTAGCTGAAGAAACTAACCCATAATTTCCACCTGGACTAGGAAGAGCTTCATGTTGCATCGACATTTCTAAATAAAAAAAAAAAAAAAAAGAAAAAAGAAAAAAAAGAAGAAAAAAGAAAAAAGAAAAAAGCTTTTGTGATTGGAGGATTTAAATATATTTCCTGCTAATGGGGAAGTTCCCCAATGGGAAAATACTGTAATGGTTCCAGTTTGACAGCGAGCACTCGTCCTTGTTAACGTGCTTCCTTTTTACCCACTCAAAGAAAAAGCTAAGAAGCCAAGTCTCAAATTCCCCTTTGGCAGCTATTTTGTCCCCAGAGAAGTTTTGTTTGGGGGACTCCTGTTCACATTTTGCTGCATATGTTTGCAGTTTCTTCACTTATCAGTTTCTCCGGAGGATACGCACAATTTCCCCTAAGGTAACATGACATGTAAGTTCTCCTCCCCCTACACTTTGCCTGATGAGGCAAAGTCACCGGAGATACAAAGTGAAATATCAAGAATGTTTAGCCCCTTTATCACAATCACAAATCATTCTGAAAACCCCATTACCAAGGACCATGCTATTTTTAGAGAGAGAAAGAACTGTCACTTAATTGTCTTCTTGCCTTCACAAACACAACCCAAAGCTACCCAGAGCCAGAAAAAACAATGACAGTAACACCCTGATAAATACTGATTTTTTGCTAATGAATTTTATCAGCATTGTGTCCCAGCCTGCTAGTGTAACAGGATGCTTCATCTGATATCAGACCAAAGAAAATACCAGCCTTCAGGTCAGCAGCTACCTTGTAGCTGTTCTGCTGGTACAGTATGAGTGTTACAATTAAGGAGTGTTTTACTCAATTATTTTATCATTTATGCCAGGCAAACGCCTCTGAGTTCCTGAACCCCGTCATCTTTGGCCCCAAACTGAAAAATATGAGCAAGTCCCTAGGCTGCCCTACAACCATGAACTGAAACACACTGACAATAGTCTGCCTAGCCTCACCGGGAAAATTACTGTCACGCAGCAGCACTGACCCCTACCCAGCTGGGTTAGTGAATCCAACCGCTTCATTCGTAAATCTTGCACTGAGATCTAGCAGTAAGAAATCAAATCCAGACACCTATCCATGGGATGGGATGGCTTTCAGCTTTCCTTATGCACATATGTCCCTAACACAGGCCCTCCCAAGCTTAAAAGGCAATCCATCTCCACTACAAGCAAGTGCTTCAGATATCCCGTTCATCTCAGCACTTCAGAGATGTGCAAAGATGTGTCAGCATGGGTGCAGATAAACATTATTGGAGGACTGTTAGTACAAGGTGCGGAGGCATCAGCAACAACACTGCAGCACTCACTGCACCAGGTCACATCCTGACCCCATGAAGAGTGTCTGCAGGATAATGAACATCAGCTCTGCCCCAGAGCATTTCAAAATTAAGAGACTGTCTTATATCTCTATATTGTTCTGCCCCACATCCAGTCTGTCTAAATCAGAGAGCAGCTCAAAGCAGCGGTATTGAAAAAAAAGAAAAAAAAAAAAGCTGTTTGGAGGATTCATTCTAACATCTGGAGGTAGAAGTCCCACCCCTTCCTTGATTGCACTCCATTGCTCCATGCTAGATGGTCAGAACATTAATTGGAGAAGAAGTTTCCCTCTGGAGGTGACAATGGTGGAGTTGGCATATTGCTAGATCCCACGAAGAGGCAGCTCAACTTCGGCTTCAATTCATTCCAAACTTTACTCATCTGTGAGTGGAAAAGGAGAGAACAGAGACACAACACCACAGTAGGTAATCATCTCACCACACTGTATTTTAGCAGCAGTTTCAGAGTACTCAAAAGCACAACACAAATTTGCTGAAGTACTTTGGGGAAGTCCAGTAGACCCAGATTGTCCGTTTTAGACTGGTGCTATATAATGCAGCTCTCTGAGCATTTTACTGAGCATGCATGGAAGGGAGATGTCCCATACCTTGGTCAAATTCTTTTACTGAAGGGAAGGAAGGAAGCTGAAGGAGGAGAGACTTTTCTAATATTACGAATGCAGGAATGTCTGTACATGGGGAATGCTGAAGGTCATATTTAGGGGTTAACAAAAGACAGCCCTTAGATTTAGAGAAAAATCAAGGAAGTTGTTCTTTGTCATATAATTTCTATGTAGCATAACAAAAAAAACCAGATTCATCTAGCAAACACACATCATTCACTACAGAATAGCTAGTTATTTAATGGTTCGGTCTTCTTCAACTACCTGTAGGGTAAGGCCATCTGCAGATGAAAGAAGAAATAATAAAGAAAAACACAGCAGCTTGCTGAAAGAAGATACAGCCTTCTAGAGGGGTTAGAGGCCAGCCCTGATCCTCCCCCCAAACTGGAAAGACGTTAGATGACTTCTTAAGAAGTTATGAAAGAGCCCAGCTGGGCAGATGATTAGAGGAGGAAGGCCCACGGGTGAAAACAAATACATTCAAATTCTCATTCATATTTTGGGAAAAAGAATGCAGTCCAGAAGAGCTCACCTCTTTGTGACCCTGGATCTGGGAGTTGACAAAGGCCCCCAAAATGTGAGACGTGAGAGGCAGATAGATGTGGATAAGCTGTGTCTCCTGATGCAGGCAATACAGAGAGAAGTAATTCCGCAGCTCCATGGTAAGGATAGCATTTTCTTGCTGAAAGAAGAGGAACTCAGTGAAATACATTGCCAGGAAGAGGGTGCCAAGGAAGTTCACTTGCAGCAGGAGAAAATAGCATTCCTCACTATACTAGCAATCCAAACACATACCAAAAACCTAAAAGGGCAGTTCCTGGACCCATTTTGATATGACAGCAACTGCGCTTTCCATCATGCAGACTGTTGCTTTCCACAGCTCCCGCAAGTGACATGTTGCCAAAGAGCCAGTAATAAGCATTGAGGAAAACAAACACGTTCTCCTTGTAGCACAGCAGGTAGCTCAAATTACCCGAAGTACAGGTTATCCTCTCAGTCTAATGGCTTCCTACAAATATGACTGAGCTACATAGCGGCACCATTATAGGAGCCCAGTACCACCCTTTGCTCTCCCAGGCACCTGCCCTACCTCCACAATCCGAGACTCCAATTGCTCCACTGATTCTGGTTCTTTGTTCTGCACAGTGGCACTCATCATCTGCTTCTTCATCATGCTGTACTTATGCAATGCTCGCTGGTGCTTGTGCAACACCCCCTTCTCATGTCTTTCACACAGGTCCTTTATGGGAAAAGGAAAAACCAGGTACTTAGTGGAAGCTAAGAGATGGCAAGCACGCAAGCCAAGTACATCAGGAACACAAACACATGGTCATGCTTTATGTAATTTCTATGCTTCAACTTTTTGTTTCTTTGTTTTCAAGAGGGTCAAAAAATGTTGGCAGCTAAGAATTCAAGACACAAAACTGCTTGGACCCAGACCAGTGAGCTCAAGAGGCAATCTGGAGCATCGTTTCTGCCAATGTTTTGGATCTTATCAGGCCTCTTATCTTTTGTGCCCTTCTCAATATTAAGTGCTGGCAGTTAACCATACGAGCTTGCCAGTGTCCTATTTCAGTCCAGGCGGGGGAATGTCAGGACAGGCTGCCACATACAGTTTCAGTAGGTGCTTCTAAAAAAAAAAAAAAGTGCCTTTGACCAAAAGATTAGTATTAACAAAAATTCTTTCATTTGTAACTGAACTCGTGTCTGCATGAACAAATCAGTAGCCATCTAATTCACTGCTTTGACTCAAAAGCAGCCAAATCTGGAAAAAAGTTAGCTGATCCATATAGTTCAAGCGGTCATATTTTTAAATTCCTTGCAGGGTTTGCTGTTTGGCAAATTCTCATCAGAAGATGAGCTGACCAGTAAGGCTAAAGAGCTAGCTACGGCCAACAGCCACTCCCCTCCCTCTGCCAGATGCCCAGTTCGCCTCTGAACTGGCCTCCCAGACAGTTTTCCATCCAGTTGGCGTTACACCCTCTAAAGAGCACAAGCTTGCTCTAAACAACTTTCTCACTGGCAGAAGAACAGCAGAGCTCACTTTATAGGACTGGAGTAAATCCAGGAAAAGGTTCAGCTTCTCCACCACATCATTCTCTTCCTGTTTACCCTAGAAAACAAGGAAAAAGTACATTTTATGTAAGCCAGGCAAGAACTGACATCACAGTTCTTCACATCCTTGCACCAGGCAGGCCCCCCCCACTGTATTCTCCAGGGTACATCGACGCTTACACAACTGCACCAAACAATCTTTCGGATGGCACTGGAGTGTTTAGTCTTCAGTACGCAGAACAAAGATCTGACTGGAGCAGGAACAGCTTTTCCAATTGTCTGACCATTATAACAAGAGGAGTTAGTTTCACACTCCTGTGTGTCAGTCCTTTCAGCGCGCTCTGCCTGAAATTTCTTGCTCTTGCAGATTCCTCCAATCTTTCATCTTCCCTTCTTACAAGATAACCAATCCATTAAAGCTATAAATACCTGCATGTTCCCCACAATAGTTCATGCATCAGAAGGCAGAGATGAGACACCAAGCCAAATTACAGTACTTGTTTGTTTTATTTTCCCAAATACTGTCTTTTCTTCCTGTATCAATAGAGCTTTCTGGAGCATAAACTCTGGAGAAAAAAACCTGGTCTGACTGATCTATAAAAGCATGCTGAGTATTTTAACACAATGAGATGAAGAGAAGACAAAACTATTGCTTTTCCTTCCCAGACTGTCATGTTCTCACATTATTCTAACAGTCATTATCACACTGCACACTTACACAGGAATATGATGCTTCTGTCTGAATGGCTCTCATGTAACGTTTAAGTACATGAATGTCACAATTTGATTCAGAAGTAAGTTCTTCTGGATTCTCTGTAGCAGATTAATATGACAGGACGCAGGACTTTTGGACAGCTCAATACAGTAGTACAACTTAACTTGTCCAATTACCATTTGAAATGAAAAAAGAAAGCAGGCTGTTCCCTCCTTTCCCTTGCCCATTATATTTTTTCCCATTTAAACACAGTCCAGGTTTTTCATTCAAGCTTGAACAAGCAGGCTGGTGGCTGAGGATGTGAGTTTGGACTACAATCTCCCTCTTAACTCCTTAAGTGCCTACGTCCACAGAGCTCATGATTCAGGATGAAACTTAAAGCAGCAAAGTGCCGCCTTTATTTCACACACACAAAAAAAAAAAGAAAAGTAAAGAACTCACCTGCTGCACAGCCTTATCTGCCAGCAGTGCAAATTCAACAGACAGACCCTTCAAGGCTTGTTTCAGAGTCCCCCATGTGCTATTATTCAAAGCCGCCCAGGAAGGAAGCGGTGTAGTGTCTGAGCCCAAAGCACTAGGAGGAGATAAGTAGTATTCAAATCTAGAAGACAAATTCCACTAAGTAGATACACTTATTTGCAGTGAGTAGTTCGGAGTTTCAAATCCGTCCAAATAGCTCGCAGTGCTGAGCTACTACTGCACAGTCACAAATGCAGAGCTGTGTATATACTGGGGGAAGAGACCATAAACCAGTACCTGAATGTCAAGGTATTTGTATTTTCTTTTCTCTTGCTCTATGCAATGCAACCTTAGTGAAAGCATGTATCTTCTTCTTTTATAGTAGGAAACATTTTATTATGACCTACAGCATGCATTGAAATACCCATTCTTACCAGACCATTTGCAGGTAAACCTGACAACAGTTCTGAGTTCTCAAACAACAGTAGAAATGTTCACATTAGCAAATCTTCTTCCTCCCAACCTACCTTAGCTCCTTTCCAAATATGAGAAGATCTGAAGCATTATCAATGGCTCGAGAAGCTATCCTCTCTGCACGGTCCCGAAGCTTATAAAAGCTATTATAAATATTTCTGATGAGCTCCCTGCTGGCAGCAAACTGGGCCTGTATGTCAGCTGGAAGGAAGTCCTGAAGAAGTGCAAGAGAGATTACTAGTGGACAAATCAGAGGTACACTCACACGCGTTAATTGTGGGCACACCATACAGTCTGCAAAGACAGACAGGTTTCCCTTTTGCGCTCGCTCTCTCACGCCACGCTATAACAACCCTGAAGAGATTAGCTTCATAATTTAGGTGTCCAAGTCAGGTGTCATACAAATACCCCTAATTTTCAGAGGCACAAAGAGGTTCAAATACCAGGTGTAGACAGAGTTGGCAAAATCTGCAGTTCTGCTGTGCAGTTAAAACGGGGTTTGTGAGGTTTCAAGCTCACAGGTTCTGATCTGAACCTACTAGTAACTGCCAGCCTGGCAAAGTCAAGCACGTACTGAAAGTTCAGCTCTTTTTGACCTGTGCATCGCTGCTAAAAGCCTGCATTAAGCTCCAGTTGCAAAACCTTCTGCTGGCATTGCAGGAACCTGAACAACAACTTGCTTTAAAATTGCTCAATGAACACAGTGAATACGTGTTTAAAACCTGCCATAGCACTAATCACTGGCATAAACAGATATATGGAGAACTTATAACTAACTTCTCTATAACAGTCCAAATTACTCTCCCACAGGGAGAAGACAACAGACAGAATGAGGGCATGAGCACATGGGGAAAACATCAGTCTAGATATTAGCTTTTAAGTTGTGCAGTCTGTGCATTTGTTTGTTATGCAAGTACAAATAATTACTGAGAAACATGTTCTGAGCAGGATTCATTGTTTAATCTTTATCATATTCATGAACCAGCATTTAGCTAGAAATAGCAGGCCCTTAGAGTCAAATATTTATTTGATCTTTTAAACTTGTAATTTTATCAAAAAGTCCTTCAAAGTTTGGCAACAACTCTCTCCTACATAAGGTCTCCATCACTCAGCAAATGCCACAAATGATCCACCTGGAGGAGAGAGCCATTTAAACCAGAATAATATGTTGCAAGAAATTCGTATACATACCTTGGCCTGGGTAGCTAATCTGCAGGTCATAAATTCATCTCCTACTCCCTGGACCAACTCTCTTAGCTTATTCTGTACATCCTGGAGAAGACACAGAAACAAACAAGCAGGAAAGAACTGAGTAACACACAGGCAGTTCACACAGGTCTCGGATATATGGCAATAGTAAGGCACATAGCAGATACAGCTTTATTCAGGTTAGGTTTAATTCAAGGAGAAGCATAATATGTATTCCCCTAAGAACAGTTATCATTTTCAAAATACTATACTCCTGGCATTGAGTGAAATTACCTTCCACTTTCCAGCTGCAGAAATACCTATTGAGAGAAAATTCTCCTCATCACAGGGAGCAACAATGTGTAGGTTGAAAGCAATTCTGAACTCTGTGCCCAGCGAAGCAGTTACAGGAAGATATGCAAACTCAAGACTATTGCTAACAGGTACTCACTGAGCCACTGAACGACAGAAAGAGTTTCAAGAGCACATCTTCTGAGAAAGGGGGATGTCGAGCCACCAGATTTATAAAACGCTTCAGCGCTCTCCTCCTAGATTCTATGAACTCGCGATCAGCTACAGAAAGAAACATTAAATTTCAATTAATGCACCACATATTACAGCTGCTCAGAAAGAGAAAAAAAGCAAGCACTCCGTCCGGTTTCTTTGTACCTATAACCCTTGCTAAAGCACTGCAACAAAACCAAAGAATGATTACTTGTAGTCCGTCAGCTCCCTAAAACAGATCTTTTGGATTGACCACCAGAACAAATATTCCTTCAAGAGGTTCTTTACATCTTATTGAAATCCAGCACACATACTTATGTGTATTTATTTTCACAGGGTGGGTCAGGTAAGCAGGATAAACAACCAAGTCTAAAGCCTGAAGCCTCCACTTACAAACTGTAGGCATGCAAAAAATTTTCTTCCTCTGAATCAATTCCATAGCTGGTCATCGGAGGGGTTCTCTGTCTGTTTGGGACTCCTGGGAAATGCAGCACAACACACTGCATCTCGCCACTGCAAAGATCACTGCCACTTGCAAAGCGATATCTGACAAATAATTACTTTTTTTTTTTTCCTCACTGTTCTGAAGAACTAGCTTCAGCGTGCTGTACCCTCAACTGTCCCTCCTCCATAATTCGAAGCATTTTGGGGCTAGGGAGAGAATAAAGTTTGTGGGATTTTTTTCCCAGTTGTTTGTTCAAGATCAGCGTCCATCTTTTTCACGCAAGATGTCATGATGTACTTTGGAAGACCTGCACAGCAACCTGCAGTACATCCACCCAGAGTCCTTACTTGTCAAACTAAAAAAGTTCAGCTCGTCTTCCTGAAACAGGAAGACTTTCAATCTGGTGATACTGTAGTAAGGCGGTAAATAAAAAAACCCTGGAGTTTTTCAGGAAAGATGGAAAAAGTAAACTAAAAATAAATTTGAAGGAAAAGAAAGCAGCACAGAATGAAATTAAAGGAATGCACTTATCCATGACAACACTTTCATATCATGAAAGGGTATTACTCTTTTGCCTCAGTTTTAAGTAGGGAGTTTTCTGGCTTCATGGACTCTCTATAACAATCCTTAGTACAGTATCACCCATCAAATGATTTTTCAGTCATTAGGGTTGCTAATTGGTTCTGCTTCCTTCATACTTTAGCCTACACGGAGATTTCCAAAGTCATCTACATACTTCCTACATGATCCACCTCACTTTGCTGCTGTCCTGAAAAATGAGCAGAGCAGACTATCAATCCTTCTTCATCTGACAGACAGATGAAAGTAGACCATCATGAAAATAAGAGCGTAACTTAGTAGAGGAGCATACCGAATGCAACGAGCACATAGGTTTGCCATCCGGTTCTGGGACTAAGAAGGTTGCAAGAGTCACACATCTATAGTAATCCATCAAATCCTGTGTCCTGCAATTCCGTTTGTCAGTCCATTAACTTACTTAGAAACAAGAACTACCCAATTTCCTTTTTCCTGTTTGCAGTTTCTATTAAGACCACTTACATGGCTTTTCTACATGCACAGTTGCTGGACTAAAAGCAATCATCACTCTCTGCCTTAACACAGTTTTGGACTGTATTAGGACTGTACTCCTAGCACAGTTTGGGAATTAATCCTATCAGTTCTTTCTTAAACATATGATATCTGTGGGAAGAAATGCACCAGTGAATGCGCAGAAATATCAACACACCAGCAACGCAAGGAAATAACAGTGACTGACAAATTGTATGTATTGGTGACTTCTTTCAAGTATCCTCTCTCCACTGAGATTAATCAGAGAAGGTCACTTTGCTTACAGGTGTTGCATGAAGTGGAAATTCTGGAAATTCTGGCTGAGAACACTGAAACAGGTCAAATTCAACAGACGGGTTTTCGCAAGCCCAAAAGAAAGGTCTTCACAATTTACATTCCATTACAAGCATATATGACCACTGAAGTTTTTCAGCACTATTATTTTGCTTTGTTCCAGTTCACTACGCACCCCGCTCTGCTCACTGTTTACCAATTCCTCCTTACTGTAGCAATACATGGACTCCTTGACTGAAATCAATTATTTATTGAAACACATTAAGCTTAGCAGCATGGGCAGGAGACAAGACAGTGAAAAGCTTGTTCTTTCGCAGATAAAGTAGAAAACAAGACAGGATTTTACGGAGTTATGCAACATTTGAAATAATAAAAGTTTAAAACCAGTGCCAATGTTTCAGATTAGTGAAAAATGTACCTGAAGGAGCTTCGATATGCTTTCAGTCTTGGGATACTTCACTGGTTTCTATTCTAACAGCTAAAATATACCTAAATGAACTGACACACTGATTCCAGCCTCAGTTTTTAGTTTCTGGTTATCCTAGGCAGATTAACAAGCTCCTTTTTAGAACAGAAAAAAAAAAAAAGGGTGATAGCTACTTAAGGCAGTTGGTTCACCTGCCAGAAAGACACCTTTCTGGACATGAACTGAGAAAGCATAATTACCACTGCCTGCATCATAAGGAAATACTGTAACAGGCAGTGCTGAAGCTGTTCACTTAACTTCGCTGTTCACTAGTCCTTTTCAGGTGTGTGTGTGTGGTCAGGACCCTACACTAACTCAACAGGATCAAGTATGCTCTCACTGGAGAAGCTATTTTGCTGGTTTTACACAATCAGCTCCTCTGCACTTTTAAGCGTTTTAATACAGATTTTTAATTTTTTTTAACATCCTATTTGTTTCTCGCTATAGAAAAACGATGGGATTTCCACAAATCTTTTCTATTCTACACACTTCACAAAACAACAAACTACAATACATACTACAGCTGTTCAACAGTATGGTAGTGATTCTACACTCATAGCACTACAGCACTGATCATCATAACCTGTTTTCCTAAAAAACAGTACCTGCAACTCTGCCATGCTCTTGTGTAGAATTACGCCTCAAATATTCCCAGAAAAGTCATTAAATACTGAACTTCCACAGAAAGAAACCCCACTGAAATTTTATATTAATACCTTACATGTAGAGAATTTCTAGGATGGCAATAATTCACACCTCCAAATTGCATATTATAACCTCAAAGTTGTTTTCTGAGACAAGCAGAAGCAAAGACTTTTGATCTTTATACGTTTATTTTCAACAGTATCACCTCGATCACGCTCGCACCGCAACCCCTCCAGTCAAAAGAAAGACCCAGGTTTACCTCCCAGCATCCTCTTTGGTGGAAGTGATGGCACCATACGATATGGGAACTTCTGAAGAAGCATCTCGTGGAACACCACAAAATCATTGTATCGCCTGTAGACTGAGCATTTGAATCTCTGCAATTAAGGAAGGGGGGAGGATAAATCAATACAGAGGCTGAACAATCAGCAGCACTTCCATAATTTTTTTTTTGCTATCAGCTGCACTAAAAACAAAAAGGAAAGAAAGAACTCAGACGCAGAGACTGCAGAAACAACATATTTCTTCTCTTTAGAGGCCTTGTGGTGGGAAGGAGGGAGAGGACTCCAAAGGTAGCCACCTTTCAATTATGAATAGAGATGGCATTCTTCTAACTACAGTCCTTTTGAAAATAACGTTTTCAGTCAAAAACGTAAGTCAGATTTCATTCACACACAAGATGAAAGAGACTATAAAATGGAGAGGAAGAGGTTTCCCAAGAAATTACAAATATCCCTAAATCTGCTGTGGTTCCATACCATTACTCCCTCAAACTCTCTGGTCTTCCAAATTAGACAGAACATTTAGAAATAGTGCCAACAATCTTAAAGCGCTCTGAAGAGCTCTTTTCTTAAAGTACTGCGAGTGTCTGAGCTCTAGCTCTTAGGAACTTTCTCTAAATCAATTTCAAATCCAGAGATGGCAAAACAGTCTTAGATCATGTCAAGTATTAGCCCAAATGATTGATGTTTTAAGTGAACCTCACAAGAGAAAGAGGGACCTCTCACTGATGTTAGATCTATAAACAAAGATTGAAAGTTCCTTTAAAACCTTAGTCCTTCACTCTGCATTTCTTAGATCAATACATAGAAGAGGCCAAAGAAACTGTTTTTTCATTCCAAAAGGAGTTAGGTAGCAGCTAGAACAAGACACATAGGAGGCAGAAATCTTTAAAATAATAAATAAATAAAAACCCCACAGAGCCCCCACACTATTATTACAGATTCAATTACCGGAGCAGCTAATAAGAAAGACTACACAACGCTAAACCCATTCTCGTTACGTTTGCATTGCGCATCAGCCACCGCTTATTGTGGTGCTATGCATTTTCAAAAATAAAGCAATGAGGCATATAACTGGAGCACAACGGACACGGCCCCTAGGGCCTCCCTCTGTCTGCTTGGAAATCTGATGTTGATTGGTGTTGCAGATCTTAGGGGAAGCTCAAGGCCAAGCTATGCTGCTTTTTGAAGAAGTATCATTCTACAGCTAACAACCGTAGGAGAGATGACAGCAACTGAAAGGAGTTGGCAAGGGGCTCCTAAATCAAAACCTGGTGACCCTGGTGGTCTCTCTAAGTCCTGTGCCCCAAAATGACAGGCAAAAATAAACATCGAGTCCTAGAAAGCCCACAGAAGCATTCACTGTGTCTGCCCTTTCCCCCTCACAACGCTCTTTGACAAACTTACGGATGCCAGTCTAAAACACCTAAAGCCCCAAATGTCCCTACAGGCAAGCGACCCAAATGTGTCTCTGAGTATGTACAACAGCAACTACAACAGTTTGAGCGCTACTCAATAACTGATGTTTTTGGCCTGGGAGATGTAAATTGCTCACGGTCTACTTTGAAGAGGACAGATTTCCTTCTTGAAAAAACACACAGAAGCTACTGGAGAGCTATTTCACTGGCTGCTTTATAAATACGAAAAAGATACATCATCGTCAATCTTCTCCTACACCAAGAGAGGAACCTACAGGTCAGAATTTGGGCAAGTAAACTGGAAGTGGCCTAGACTCTGCAGAAGGATTTGCAGTACCTTTTCTGTTTATAAAGGATTTCAGTTTAGCACTGCCAATGCCGTTTCTTCACTAGCTTGAAGTCATTTGAAATACCCAGTCACTAACACCAATCCGTTACGCAAACATTCAGGTTTCAATGTTTTACATCTGCTTTTGTACAGAGCTCAGGTTTCAAGCAGGTCAACTAGCAGATCATCCATCAGACCTCAGTCACAAGATGCTCCATACTGCAGAAGCCCAGGTCAAGAAAGCATAGTGCTACTGCATTTAAAGTCAGCCCATACAACTGGCCTACTCAAAACCAGCATCACCCAACACATCTATCAAGTAAGACAAGGCTTTGCCAACAGCAACTGCACAGACATTCTTAAGAAGAAGATACATTGTCACTAAGACCAATGCTTGTTCACGTTACCTTGCTGGAAACCTCGTATTCCACATGTTTCAGAAAAAGGCCTTTCTTCTCAGGTATAAGCTCCACCTGCACACTATCCTTGCTCAATAGCTCTTGTAGGGTGTGGGAAAGCAGCAGTGGATTTCCCTGGGGCGCCTGCATTAGAAACTGTTCCGGTTCCCTCGGTTCATTTACTGGAGGCTTTGCCAAATCTAGAAGACAAAAAGGGAAAAACAGTCCAGTAGACCTGATAAAGTGAAAGAAGTAGCCTTAAAATACTCTGCTCCCTTGCTCAGTGCTCCCACAGTGGTGCAACACAACCAGAATAGTCAAGCCACTCCCCCAGGTGGCTATGCTACTTCTCACACGTCCAAGACTTTGGTACCTCCCTCTTCACAACACCCAGGAGCACCACCAATTATACCGAGTCAGAAAGACATCTCTGCTAAGCAAAAGAAGAATCACAGGCCAAATTTGTTCTGTGAATCAGCTAAGAGGCCTGCATTTCCTGTCTGTCCAGCTCCCACCACAGCAGGATCTGCCAAAATGAACGAAACCCTTGCTCAGCACTTTTGGATCCTGCCTAGAACAACTCATGGAAGGAAAGAAAATGTGTTACTTTACTGCGTTGCAGAAATTTAATACATTAATTTTACATGCCATTACAAAGGAAGGAGACACTTCATTTGACATAATTTTATTCAACTGTATGACAGTATGCTAGAGTGCGCATGAATTACAATAATTTACTATGTCAATATGCTTAAGTTCAAGAGCAGGGGAAAAAGGTTCCTAATAAGGGCTACCACCCTGACAATTCCTCCGTCACAGCAAGCTCTGGCAAAATCTTTCAAATATACTTATTCCACGCTTGTAGCCAAAAAACAAACATCTTTTTACAGTGAATTCAACCATAGCTGGACAGCTTTGGACAGAGATTCTAACTGATTCTCAGCCAGATGCAAAAGTGAAAAAAAGGTGGCTCTTAAGAATATGGCCCTGGAGGACAAACTACATCAAAGAAGGGGCAAAGATGATGATTCAGAGTGCTCTCTTATCGAATGACTGACTGCAGCCCATTATCTCAACTTGACTTCATAACTACACGTATTATGTGACTGTAAACTAAGCTTACATTGTTTTTCAAAGCAATCCTTTTTTTCCTACCCATTTCACACATAAGAAACAGGGTAAAAAATGTGGCTATAACCCTGGGATCTATTCAACCCATACCTGAGTTCTGTTCTTCGGTCTGGAACAGATGGGTTGCTTCCTCTCTGTATATGTCTGTTTAAGAGGAACACTGTGAGCAAGCTCTTTTGCAAAGCAAGTCAGATCCACTGATGAAAAGTTACCTAGAAAAGCTAGGCAGTATTAATCATCCCATCCTTGCCATTGTGCAGAAATTACACCCCTTCTTAAATATATCTAAAATTTTCAGAACACAAAAATACAGTAACACCATAGAAGCAAGAACCATTTCTTTAAGCTTTGATAGATAGTTCAAGCACTTGATAACTGTGGAAGAAATTAACTCAGGGAAGGTAAGAACTCGCATCCTTAACTTGAAAGCCCTGACCTCCTCTGGTAAGGATTTCCCACCTGTTCCTTCATGTTCTCTAGGCCCTGATAAATGGGGGAAACAGGTAATCTCTGATTCCTCAGATACACAGCTTCAGAATAGACACTTTGTCCTCTGTTCCATAAAATGGTTTAAGAAAACCAAACCAAATCCAGGACAAATGGACCTTATCCCACATGTCTCATCAGGCTTCAGATTCTTGCTAATATGACTCAGAGAAGCAAGTCTTAACACCTCTGCTTTAATAGACTAATGTATCACCTACTAACCCCACCTACGTAGCAGCTTCTAAAAAGTTCCAGTTACCTGTCAGAAATTTGTGGTAAGATAAGGCAAGCTAATTCAATGTTGACATGGGATACTGCTGGATAAAGTGATAACATATCTGTATATCCACTTTTCAGACAGATGCTGAACTGAGAAGGAAAGGAAGAAAGAAAATTCAGAATACAGATAGCAAGGGGAAAGATTTTCTAGTGTAGAAAAATCCTCACCCACCTGATCCTTGACGGGGCAGAAAGGTATAATAAAACGCACTATCAAGGGTGTCAAAAACCCATACAAGAACAACTATGGAAAGCACAGGGCAGCCTTGCTCTCCAGAGCAGCGGTTCTCTGGGTGCACACCCTTGTAATTCTTGGTTTTAATTGCTCAAGACATGTAAATGAAATGCAACATGACACAGGAGATTTTGCTATTCCTCCAAAGCATACACACACAATTCCACAATCCTCTGTGTTGCTAAACCGCTGGCTCACGTTGCAGAGGCATTCACAGCAAGCTAGCCTCCCAAAGACGGGCTAGCCAAAATGCAACGCACCTATTTCCCCAAGAGCAGTGCCACTCCGTACTAATACAACACTCCTACTGAATCACTCTCCCTGCTTTCTATCTTTCTGCTAGCCAACGAACAAAGCCGGACTTTCATGGCACAAACTGTTCCCTAAACTGGGGCTCAGCACCGTCTGATAAGCTACTGAAACTCCCAGTGGCAAAAGACAGGTAGCAAGAGAAAAGATTTACGGGATGAACCATGAATCCTCCAGTATTTCATTTGATAAGTCCTGGAACCTGCAGCATGATCAGCCAAGGCGATGCTGCGAAGGACTCTCAGATTCATTACAGTGATCTGAACCCACATTACCCAGTAAGACAACTACAGAGTGAAGCCACATAGAGAGATCCAGACAAGACTCAGGTTTCCTCTGACAATTCAGTCACGTTGCTCCTTTCATTTGTAATACTTTGCCAATTTTCATCAAATTATTCTCTAAACTTGCCTTCCAAAATTCACCAACAGGAAATACCTTCTTTTTATCAGCAGTTCACACGCTTGGCTCTTCCTGAAATACTCTGTAGCTTCTTTACATCTCAACCTTGTCTAAATGTCTGAAATCATACAAATCAGACAACCATACAAACAAGTATGAATAATTACTGTTTAATTGATAATCTCAGTGTGTTTCATATCAACAAGACAGCTACTCAGGGTGAATTTACACCCTCAAACACTGGTCTGAGAACACACTAAGATGACTTTGGAACAGCTGTTAATCTGCTTTAGAAAACACTTATCGCGGCATTAACACTAACCCTGCAGAGCAATATATACTGAAGCTATTCTTCAGCCCATTTTTCATTCTACTTACTAAAGAGTCAATTCAGGAACAGCCTCAAGAGCCCTGGCCAGGAATGGTGGATAATAGTGGGAACTCATTGGTATGAGCTCCTGTGTTCAACCAGTAAAAGGATTTACATGCACTGTAACAAAACACTTAACGCTTCCCATCACGTACTCTCTGCTCGAGCACAGCTAATTTTGAAAACATTCCCTTTGGTTTCAGCAGATCATTATCTAGTAAAGTTTATAGACATAGAGCAGTAAATGAATACAGAAATGAGGTATGGAACAGTCCCCTGGAACACAGGGAAGCAGGCAAAATTAAATCAGCTTTTTTGTGCAAGCTGGCCTTTTGCTACAGCAGAGTTTCTCAATCTGTTGTCAATAAGTTACCAAGAAGCAGCCTGGTATAACTGAAAACAATTTGATATAAAAATTAAAAAGAATACATATGCAAACAAGCAGACAACGGGATGACAAGAAATAAAAGTTTAAAGAAGCATTCAAAGCATAGCCTAATCTTTGTTTGGTTATAAAGGAAAAAGAACTATGAAAACACTGCATAATACTTTTTTTTTTTTTTTTGGTCACAAGTCAGGTAGCCTTTGGACTGAAAGGAGTTGAGAAACTTAGCCAGAGAACAACTGAAATAGAAAGCTTTGCTACTTTATACCACACATTTCACGCTTTAGTTAGCACCCGACATTCATTACTCCCATTCACGCCAGTAGACAGCAACCTGCCTCCACAGACTTACCAGTTTCCTCAATCAGATTTTCTAAAATCATGCGTTTATGAAACCCAAAGTAGAATTTCAAGTGTGTGATTAGCTGCACGCAGGTTTTACATGTGAGTAAGCACATACGGAAGAGAAGGGCAATGCAAGGGCTGGAAGCATAGGTGGTAAATCACAATACAGATCTCCCTTCCCTACTTAAGTTCTGCCAACCAAATTTGGAGGCCTTATCTCCATTTTACAGATGGCTGCTACTAACTACTCTTTATTATACTGGGGTGCTAATGAGCTAAATTTGTTAGACACACTTAAGTAGATGGTGCCATAGAATTACTCGTTATATTAGTAGCAGATTTTCTAGATGGAGAAAGGAGTCTAAAGGAAGCACAGCCTTTAGGAAAAACAGCTAAGATTGCTTCTCCATCACCACAGGCCACGGCCTTGCGGAGCAGAGGTGATCCGACTCATGGGAAATGCAGGGGAGTACGAGAACTGACTATTTTTTGTATGCAGACACCTCAGATTTCTCCCTGGCAAAAATGAAGGCTCTACTACAAACTCCTGGGCCAGGAATACTAAAGCAGCAATGTAAATATCATTCATCAGCATTTCCCTTTCCTTTCTGTCTTCTCATGAAAAGCCTCAGGAATTATGGAAATGCTTTTCCCCCTTATTGTGTCAAACACATTCCTCTGTAGTTCCAGAATTCAGTGTCCACATCAACCTCTCGGAAAGCTGATGCAGATTTCAACTACAACTCCAAACAGACTCCCTTCCTTGCCTCTGTTTTTTTTTAATTCTTACATAATTTGAAATCCCCTGAAAACAAGAAAAGAAAAACAGAAGTTCCACAAAAAAAAAAACCCCAAACAAACAAAACTTTCTTCCTATTAAGGGCTTTACATATTTTTGAGACAACTATATGCAACTTCTTTGGGTTTTTTTAAGGAATTTAAAACTATGCAATTCTTATTTGGAAAGGAGCAATGCAAAGGAATCAGTCTATTTTATCCAACAAAGCTGATACACAGATCTATGTTCAACGTGGAAGAGAGGTCCGTACTTCTTACTAGCTTCAAGACAAGTAATCATATTTAGCTTCACTCTAATTAAGAGATGGTGCGGTAGTGTCCTTCCTCATCCCTCAACAACTGACTTGTAAATACAAGCTATCCAATGCCAAAACAACACAAGATAAAATAACACACATACTATCATAAAATTAGATGTTGGAAAAAAGGCTGTAACATTTTGGTTTTCCTCCTTAAAAAAAAAAAGAAAAAAAAGAAAAAAAAATAAACCCCCCAAAAAAAGAGCTTTCTCAGTGCAGATGTCAAATACGCACCCTGTGCTGGCTGGTCTGTTTTGGGGTTTTTTTCCTTTGTTTTTGAGGTGTTGGGGGTAGTTATAGGTTTGAGGGTTTTCTGGTGGTTGGTTGGTTGGGTTTTTTTCCCAACTAAGTTTCAGATTGTTATTCAGCACTTGGTGATGAGGCAGAGAAGTAATGCACAACTCAAAAATAGTCAGGTGAGGTTATCTAAGCTTTATTTACTACTAATAAAAAAGCACTAGCATTTCTGCATTCCCCTACAGCTGTAGGCCACTAACTGCTTCTCAAAATACCACAATCACATACTACAGCAGGAAAAAAAGCCCAACACCAAGTTATCTCCTTCCAATGTCACACAGTAAATCTGTGTGACAGAACAAAGAACTAACTTTAAGCCTAGTGCCCTGTTCTTTTAACTATGCTGTTAGATCATCAAGTGATTAATTAAGCAATTTCCCAAGTCTGGGAATACAAGGAACACATTCCATTCACAAGTCAGCCACGGAGTCACAGTCCTAAGCTATAGCAAACATAATAAAGCGAGATGGAGACACACTGAAGAAATTACAGCATTAGGGGAGAAAAGTCCATCGAGGAATGTTCCCAAAGTCAAATCCTCACTAGGGCAGTTTCCAAGCTCACAATGCCAGATTGCTAAACTATTGTTTTTCACACCCAGCTCTAACAAAAAGGATGGAAGTGTAAAAATTCAGACCCCAAAAGGTAACCCAACAGCAATAACACATACAACTGTTCTCCAGGAAACTTTTACGAGGGCATTTTAGTTTAGCTACAAAATTGCCAAGTTTCTACAGTCATCCGTCCTTACAAAGGTCAAGAAAACACCATCAGAAGAAATTGTTTATCTTTTTGTTTTGCTTCTCTTCTTCCTTGCACGGTTCTCACCCTCTTAATTACACTGGGGAAAAACTTGATGTTAGTATGTAGGCATTAAAAAAAAAATGGTGTGCCACTCCAGACACTGCAGTCTCCCGATGGTCTTTTCATGTTTTATAGTTAGAACAAGCTCACTCACACCTCCAGTTCTGCTGAAAAGCAATCATCAAAGCTCCCCTCCTTTTGTACCAGTTCCACGTGTCTGTAACTGATACATTTCTCTCCATCAACCTGCACCAACCCACTAAAACGTGAAGACTGTGGGGGAAATCAGAGTGGTTATGTGCAAATTCTGCTGTCTGCAGCTGGTACAGCCCTCCCTACCAAGCCCTCCTACAGGCTGCATGCACAGTTAAAGATTTACCACTAGAAGAAAAGGAGACACCCACCCCCCCCTCCCTGGCCAACACACCTGGGTCAGCTCCCTGAAATCGCTGCAAAACAGGCTCAAATGGGAGCAAGAGAGAAAAGAAAAAGTCAATGCAAACAACTTTGCAAAACTGACTTTAATGTATTGGACATTATCCTTTTTTCTTTTCTCTCTTGGTTGTGTTAAAGTACTTTTAACCTTGCAAAATAAAAAAGACAGCATTTGCATGTGCTGTCATAGGTGGGCCTCAACAGCCCCTGTCAGGACTCTCGTTATTACTCAGGAGATTTAGATCCTCCTAGAATATTCACTGATCTCCAAAAAAGTTCTATATGGGTGGGAAACTTCCAAGATCACTGAACCCGCATCATTATGCTAGAAAC